AGAATGAAGACAAACTACGTGATAAACTTTGTTCAATTTGCATAAAGTCGCGTTTTGCATAATTATGACTTGAACAATGCCAAACACTTAGTAGCTGATTGGAGCCAAAATATCTGCGTCAAAGGGAAGTGTTTGTACGAATGATCTATTGAACTATAGTTTCATAGGCTCCAATAATGTCATATAAAAGCCTTACTCTTATTGTTTGTACAACGGCTGGAACTAATTGCTTAACCTACGAACGCACATTTGACACAATGTCGTATTAAGCCTGCAAACAGGTTTAATATTTAATCAGAGCATAGCCTTCTTCCCGCCATTTTTCCACTAACTAACACTTTGGCACCTCAATCTCTTTTGACGGAAATATTGCATGCATCTCTTTTTTCCAAAGAATTAACCAAATAGCAGATATAAGACGGCTTTGTGATGGCTTATCGTCTGTCGATCGGGTTAGCAGGATTCTCAAGACATCGTCTCTACGGGTGCTCCCACAGAAAAGCGACATCGACTAAAAACCTACTTGTTAGTAAGTGTGTTGTGAATTTAAGTCAGAAAACTTCCCTGCGTTTTTCTAGCGACCTTATGGGTAACGACGGTTTGTATTGAAAACTTCTACAGTTTATAAAAAGCAACAAAAATGCATAGAAATTTAAATAAGACCTCCCTGTACAGTGCTTCGATGCGATTGCAACCACGCACGTCTATGCCCAAGATATCATTGACGATTATTGCGTTTACGATTTGGTTTTTGGGTCCTATTCTAATTTATCGCTGCGTCTGTGGTGTTCCTACATTTACAACGGCGGCGGACGGTTCTCTCGGATTTCAGGCCGTGATCGTGTGCGAAGCAATAAGGAAACCCGAAAGGCCCGTTAGTTAATTTACTGTTCCTTCAAGATTTTTATTACGTTAGATAGTTCGCATTTGTCCTAAACTCATTTGTCTTTGATAAACGTATGCCCGTTACTTTAACGGACAATAAGCAACGAACAGAAAACCAGCTACTCATGTACCTTACTAAAAGTCAAAGAGGGGTTCTTTTTCTTTGTGACTCACAGCCTTCAAAGTTCGCACAGCGAAACCTGGATCTTGCGAGGTTAGGTCGCTAAAACACGTACTTGCGGAAAACCGTGACGAACAACGGCAGTCAGCCGGAACGAAAGATCACACTCAGAAGTTAGTGACTCAGAAGCTCTTTCGCTGTCCAAACCGTGTATCAAGTAGGTTATTTTTATATACATATATACAAGGAGTTTTTACTATTGATATAAATCGAAAATTTTAGTCTTGTTCCATCCATTGTCAAACGCACAGAGAGTTAATAAGTGCTTTTCGATGCTTCAACAAAGACCCGTCAAATGGGTTCAGCTGTACATAAAGTACAAAGTGTACAAACATTACGCATCTTAAGGGCTCTGTATGCTCACACACTATTGAAGTTTATTGAGTTCAGTAAACAGAAAAACCTGACTAATTATCTATGGGCTGAACGTACCCACAAGACAAAATAAATGTTTTGAAGGATATTTCGCAGTTTATAGTTAACGAACATAATTTAGTATTAGGGTCGTTTTTTGATTTTTTAAAAATACAGTCATGCTATCTATCAGATCTGCACAACATTGCGATAAAATCTAAAATAGATTAAGCCATTTCAATATATGAACGTACATCCTCACTTCGTGGACCTCAAATCACTCTGCTACACCTAACAACAGTTCGAGTGTGCAATAATAATGATACACTAGACTTAGAGGTACAGCATTGTTTAATGATATCAGAGGCGGTCGTTAGTTAAACTCCTAAAAGAGTCACAACTAGAGAAAACGCAAAAACAGATATTGTAGCAACAAGCAGCCACCATTAGGATAAAAATCCTATAGTTATACCGGCCGCTTCTCGACATTTCTATCTTTTCTTAGTAGTGGCAAGATCAATTCCGCCTACCTTCATCTGAACTATCAGTCGAGCTATCGAAAGCACCTTGTCTCGAGCTTGATGATCCAGCTATTGAAGACGTGTCATTGCGCCTCTTAACAATTTTCCAATATCATGGTAAGACATGGGGCTAGACAACCCGGAACGGTACCCTGAGGCCATGTACAGGCCGCTACGAGAAAATAACGAAAATTACTCACTCCTTTTTTGTCTATCATCATATTTCTTTGCTGTTAATTTCTTCACAAAGTAACAATCTGCCTAAAAATCAGGTCAGTACTCATTACGTCCCACCCAGATATAGATCTGCACAGGTAGTGGGTATCAACGACACAACATACGAAATCTAAATGTTAAGGAGTGTCCAGTTGGCATGACTTCAACTTCATATACAGACAACGATGGTGTAATCACGGAGCACTCGCAATTCTTTATAGTAGTAGTACTTTTTTATGTTATCTGGGTGCCTATATCCATCTGTAAACATTCAAAATAGAAGGTTATCGTCATAAAACTATACCGTAGCCGCTCGCAACAAGAGTTAACCTTGGTGAAAAAGTCGAGGGCGAAAATAGCAGGAGGATCGCTGGGGGGGGTACTCCCTATGAGAAAATATATGCAAAATTTCAATGGTGTCAAAAGGTAGCTTTCGAGAGTCCCCAAGATAAACCAACAAATGTTTGTGAAATAAGCAAAACGCACCACGTTTCAATGACTGAACTGTCGGGAACCCGCTTTGATTTCTGTAACAGTCGAGTTTGAATGAAGATACGAAACAACTTATTAGCTGCTTGACTCACAACGAAAAAGCGTAAGGTGGACATAATGGCATATTTTGCCACCTAGACCAAGCAAATGTTCAGTGTTGATTTTAGAACAAGCCCTTGAATGCTTCCAGCAGGAAATCAGATACCGGTGGAATCCCTTGTATCGAGCTAGCCATTTTTCTTCAGAAAGGGCAGCATCTATTTAAACTGTATTAGAAATCTTGTTTATACCTCTGCCTATATCTTTATTGTCAACATAAATGAGCCTATTTATCTTACATTGCACATCATGCATAAAATGAGAACGGCATAACACCATAGTACATTATCTGCACTAGCGTCTAACATCGATTTCCTGTCTCATAAAAGCTGTAATACTTGACGGCTGTGAATTGAGAACCGGAGGCTATGACCGCTAAACAATGCCCAAACGTGCTGTACATCTTCGCGTGTGCGGAATGGATCCGAGTGTACAAAAAACGATGAAGTTGTGTCATAAAATGCATAATAAACAACTTTCTGACAGGTGTGTCTACTGCCCATAATGCCGCACACATTTCTACAAACGTCACGTACTACGGCACATTGCTTGTGTACCTCGTCAAGTACGGAGCACATTCATGGAGGACTGGAAGACTTTTTTTTTAACGAATAGAGCATTTACCTGGGAAGACGGAAATATCCAATAGGGTTTTATTATAAGTATAACCACAATGAAGCAAATGGCACTAAATCTCTGTGTTAAACAAAAAAAAAACTTATCCAAGTATTTTCTCCTTTATAGTATCACAGAAATTGACTGTAACATTAGCGAAAGGTTATTATTGACCTCACTCTGGGTGGTTGCTTTTTCTACTTTTGATCAATACTTTAAGGATAAAAACTTCGCTATAACAGCAACTCTTCCGGCATTAGATATACATTTTGTTGAATTCATTCGATCTACGTAGATGTGCTGAAGCTCTATAGTTTCTACAGTTTTTCTTACAGTCAGCTATGCTTCTCGTAGTATTCGTTCACCCAGCCCAACTTGAGTCTGGTAACGAGGTTCAATAAATTAGACAGTCTGCCTTTAAATTTCCATACGGGCGCTTTTAGCACTTCAGCACCTAGACATTTACTGCGCAAGTAACAGCTCGCAACGTTTAGATCTATAAGCGATACACTCAATGTGGACATTGAAATCTACTGAAGCAGAGCAGTATTCGCTGATTTACTTTGACTGGCCTAGCTTGGGGCTAAGGTCGAGCACTTTAGCTTCAGCCTCGCTATTGCCATTTATAAGGACAAAGACCCACCTTAAAAGCACAAGTTAGGTAGATGCCTTGAAGATAGCAGATATATAGGATAGATACACTTTCCAAATGTTTAAAACGTGTATCCATAACGGCGTTATTAGTTTAGAAATCTCGAATTTCTTAGTTATTCATCTGTTCATTGAACCTATTGAAGCTCTACCGAGAGGATAAATTGGGATTTGAAGGACATCAGAGAACCAAGAATAGTTTTATATTACGATTTATTGCGTGAGATCTTTAGTGAAAGCGAGAGAAGTAATGTGCGAGTCTCACCCACATTCACATGGTATTCAGCTACTTCGAGGTGCTAAACGTACGTTAAATACATCTTAATAATTGTCGACAACAATTTTTTTTTAACATAAATAAAAACTTAGATGTGGGTGAGATACATTATTAGGTACCTGTGCTGCTACATTATGAAGTTAGCATTTTCATATAACGGAGAATTCGTTAGATCACTCTTACAATTAAACGTAACCCTATCGTAGAATATAAGGATTCGCGTTTATAAGTCCCGGCCTTCATTCTGCACAGTACGTTGCACATCACAAGGCGCGGTCATGTACGTGTAGTCACAAGGTAGAAGTACAATATCTCCTCTTATGGTCTGATCTAGTATAATAGAGTACAAAAATAGGATACAATGATACGTCTATGTGTCTGCGCTTTAGCAAGCTTTCTATTTTTGGTCTCGTATGGACTAATAGCGCACGTTTTATTCCAAAGAGCCATTGCTCCATTGTAGTATTACAGTTACTGAGCGGACCAGGGTAACTTGGCTTGGGCGGGGGCGGGGGGGGGGGTAGCCTACGGTATATGCCGTGGATATAAAGGAAATTACATACGAAGTTATTATACTTGTGTAGGACTATTTATGGGTGTAGAGATTGGTATAATAATAGTAATAGTATAATGCCAAACTTCAGCGTCTAAGTATATTATTCGTTAGTGCTATTCACGTATCGGAACTTCGTACAAAACTTATTCATACCTCTCTTGCCGATGACATTATGGAGCAGAGTTGTTGCCGTGTTGCTGGTGCTGCTGAAAAACAACAACAATTAGTGATAACCGAACCAATAACTCGATTAGTGTTGTTTGATTGCCACCTACCATACCTTTCGTCACGTTAGAGTATTAGAAGGCCTACAACAAAAGGCCATCCATGACCGTTCTCGACGTAGAATCGACGACGTTTTTGTCCAAGTGTAGAGCACAAATTACACGCTAACTCAAGCCGGGCTCGTGCACCTACATCAAGCACCTATAACGCCCCACCAACAATGAAGACAGGGGTGGCGTGCTGCACGACAGCCTTGACCTTGCACGCAACTGGTGCTTTCTTCACTAATACAATCCTCCGCTTGCTCGATTGTGCTCCTCTGTATCACAACAGGCCTTACTAAACACCAACACCGTTGTAACGTAGATATATCCTTTTAGATAGTAAGTTACACCTTTCCTTGAACTCTTTTCAACGGGACAAGCATTTGAACAAGGTAGTAAATACAACGTCACGTTCACGACTGCATTAAAACAGTAAAACTTGTTATGTCTGATAGCACCAAATTGGCTTCACGGAAACACTCTTAGTTTATTCCCGAACTGTTGCAGGACGTCGTCTATGCAGGACATTTCCGTTCGGCGTTAACTCCTGAAAACAGCAGGCACCAACTCACTCCGCTAGGGTACTCAACTGACGTTTACACAATGCAGTAGGAAGCTAGCGTATAAAGAAACCAGTTCTATGCGTTTTTTTAGCTACCTAGAAACGGTGTCAAAGAAAAAGTAGACCAACGACAACACTTCGACCACACGCCAGAGGTACTTTGCTGCTTGTTTTGTCAATATACGTACATTGATGATAATAATAATTGTCATATATGTATATATAATATTCTGACACCTGCTTCAGCCATCCAGCCAGCCAGCTCGCACGCTAGCTAGTTGGCTTTCTAGGCAGCCACTCGCTCTGTGCCGTACGTAACAGAACTGGGCCGGGAACTGCAGAAGTGTTGCAGTTCTTTGCCGCCGCTGCTGCTGCCGTGGATATTGACAGCTAAAGCTGCCTTGTAGCTTACAACTGCGTCGCCGTTGCCGTAGTATTCGGCCGTTAAGCTGCGCTACTGGCCGTGCCAAGTGGCTGAGCAGCAATTGGCAACAATTTACCAGTTCCGTTGTCTGTTCCTCACTGCTGCTAGAGCCGTTGCGATGGCTATGACTATGGCGGGTCCCCTAACAATAATAATGCAGGAGGGAGGGAAAGAACGAAGGGATGAGGTAAGTTGTGCTGCTGCTGCCGTTCGCTCTTGCCTACGACAGCCGACCACCGATTCCTCCTCTTCTTGGCTAAATGACGTCGGCCGTGAGCGCAGGCAGGCGATCAGCAGCAGCAGCAGCAGCAGCAAGTTACCTATGGTGCCGATGCTGCGGTTGATCCTGCTGTTATCTTTGCTGTAGTAGGATAGCTGAAACAGTTACACCTACGCTAGTCGGCGCTGTCTGCTGCCTCAATCTCAAAGGATAATACTCTAATATATATATATATATAGTAAAATTAAGTTACGGCAACCGTGTCAGTTGAACGGCGGCGCTCATTCATAGTTCACAGCGCCATGTTGCGTTGTGTCGTTCACTACGGCAACAGCTACCGCTAGCGTACAGATGCCGTGAGCAACAGAAGGAAGCGAGCGGCATCAGCGCACGCTACTTACCACTTACTACTGCTGCTGTTAGTCCAGCGTCACAGTGACTGTTTGTGTAAGTGCGCGTCGTTTTTATCTGCCAGTATAACTACCTGGCTGTTTGTCTGTCGGCCTTTATTGTCTATGTGTGTTTTGTGCCGCCACGCCACACTACACTTGACTACTCGCTGACTACTACTGGCAGCGTCCGTCCGTCCACAGTTGCTCCGGCTACGCAGTTTCGTGTCATACCACCAGCCGTGACGGAGTCGAAAGCAACGTGCTCTCGCCGCTGCAGTTACCTTAACTCCCGCGCTGTGGCACTGGAAGTGTGATGCTAAGTAGAGTTGCTGCCGATTGTACTGTTGCTTATGACAGCTGCGGCGATTGAAATGGCATTACTTATATATTGACAGTGGCCGCTGCTGCCGCAATAGCAACAGAACGCTGGACAGAGCATGAATCTGCACCAACAGACTTTTGCTGTCCTCTTTCTTTCTCTATTTCGGGTTGTACTGTCGCCGATCGTTGACGTGCGAAGTGGTTTGCCGCGCAACGGTCGCGATGGCGCCGATCATCGTACTATAGCACTCTGTAGCATCGTGGCTACAACAACGGCTTCCGTTGTTACAAACGATAGCGTAGAACGCAGTTTTCGTCCCCCACGAGCGAAACCATATGGTCGACTACAGTCCACCAACGAAGATGCTAGCAAGCACAGCAAATTGTAAGTCCTGTTCGTTGGCCCGACACTTTCTGTTCCTTAGCCTGCGGCAGGTTCTAGGCAGCAGGTAAACGCAGACAGACCTCGTTCCAACACTACTACTGCTACTGTCAAGTATTTCCTTCTGTCTAGTCTGCGAAGTCCTTCTGTCTAATGAACGTACGTGTTCACACAGATGGCCGCCGTCCTTTCTGACTCGATCACAAAACGCTGTAACACCAGTGCAGAATGATTCTTCTTTAGAAATAAAAACACACGAACCACTGCTGCGCGAATCGGCTTATACTCTTGAATTGACGCGCACATTCGACAAGAACTTGTTATGGTTACACTCAAATGGTTACTGCCATCGATTTCTAAACGTGAACGACAAGCCCCTCACGGACCTAACCCAAACGGAGCTCGCATCGCAGAACCTGCTGTGCCTTCTTCGCTGGCTAAAGAGAGGAACCTCTTTCTTTACCGATTCTCTACTATTATGGTTATTATTACTATCCGCTACAGTTGTACTTGCGAAATTCTATTTCCCTCTTTCGGAGTCTCTGTCTTCTGTTAATAGGCTTTCAGGCAAAGAGAAGGCATCTACCGACTGACTGGTTGGCTGATACTGTCCGCAGCTACGGACTGCTGCTAGCGCTAATCTCTATGGTGGCCGTCTGTCTCAATACTGTGAGAGGATCGTGGGGGGGGGGGGGGAGTCATAGTGGTACGGCGGCAGCGGCAGCGGGCGGAACCCCGTACAACTTGGCTGTCCCTCCGCTTTTCGATGTGTCTGCCTGTCTTTGTGTTAGTGTAGGGAAAGCGTCGGCGGCAACGGCAACGGCTGCTGTTACCACTAGTGCAATGCCGGGTGGCCGCGGCGCCCAACTCAATGGCTCACCCAAGCAGCCGCACTCAGCTGCTCCTGCTCCAACACCGAGTGCAGCTGTATATACAACATCGCACCCCCTCCCCCCGGCCCTTCATTCTTCTTCTTTTCTCATACACTCTACACTCTCATAGCACAACAACTACAGTGACTACCGACACACCGGTCCCTTATGCTACGACGACCCAGTAACTATCGAGGGGCTCCGTTTACCATCGTCCTGTGAGCGAAACATGTCCTGGCACAAGCAAAAACACCAGAACCAGCAGCAGGAGTAAAGCGTCCACGGGCGCCTGCACTCTAGCCACCCTCTCGCCACAGTCCTACTAGAGGGTTGTTACTGAGGGAAGGAACATTCGATGGAAAGGGGAAATTTGAAGGGGAGAGGACGGGGGTGGGGTGGGGGGATGGGGGAGAACGACTACATTACGACGACTACAGCGCAGCTAGCAGGGTTGGCTGGGTGGCTAGCCAGCTACACGAAGGTAGCGAATCAATTGCCAGTGCCGGCGCCATCATTGCTGTTGTTTCGGCTGCTATCGTGGTCGTTATTATCCTGCCGTTGACTACGTCGACTACGATGATAGAGGCAGCGACCACGAGGCAGGCCCTCGCTAACTCTTTCCCCCGCCTACCCATGAACGATCGCTCACGCACAGCGCGACACGCTCAAATACACCCAAAGTTAACACAGAACAAATAGGGAACAACCTGCATAGGCTGCTGGGAATCGCTGCCATATGCTATATGTACATATAAATGAGCCCATTGTAGAGGCTGGGTATCAGCGCTCTGGCTCCTTAAGAAAAGAAACACAGCCAGAAAGTAAAGCAGTCGCAACAGAGCACGCGACAGACGCTCGATTAGGCCCACAAACCAAACGTTCTTTCCCCTTTTCCCGTTTGCTCTCTACCGGGCACTGCTTAACCGAAATAAAAGTATGCGGACAGCAATAGTGAAATCTATCAGATGAAAATGACAAGACCCACCAACTATTTAGTCGGCCAGCCAGCCGGAAAGGGAACGCGATTCCTGTACTAGCATTAGCTTTAAGGACTCTCTCGTTTTGATTCTATGCGGAGCGCAGAACCGTGGCGATCTTATGAGAGGGTCCAGCAGCTTGGTGAGTGCGGGTCCGCGCTGCCCCAGAAATCCATTTGATGACCTAGCAGTTATGGTGACGTTGGGAGCAGGTTTGTGCTAAGGTAAAAGCATTGTCTGCATGTCGTTTGCGCTTAGCCACTGGAGGACATTGAAATTTGCTTCACTATGGGCAGCACGATGGTGACGGCGATGATGATGATGAGGTAGACGATGACTGAATGGAAGAGGATTTGTTTATTTTTTGGTGACGAAGAACCCATACAAAAGGAAAACCACTTATAGTGGGAATGGGAACGATACGTTTCCCGCTCGCCAGCTGTTTGAAGCGCTTTCTTATTGTTTCCCGCCTTATTCTGAGGCAAATTACCACAGTTGCTCCATACATTTAATGAGTGAGATGACAGGCAGGCATTAGAGAATCAACTTGTGCAAGCCTATGCGAAATTTTCCCGCTTTGGCCTGTCGTGGGTATTACCAAGCTGCACGAAAATCGCGAAAGACAATGTGATTTAATGACTATTCGGTGTGTGACCAATCAAATTTCAAAAGCCTATATTAGACATAAAGGATTATGCCTGCAGAATACTTAAATAATTTCTAGTGACATTTTGAATAACCCTTATAAGGTGCGCTCCTCTTTATCATTTGCGCATATAAGGCAGCGCTTTGAAACTTCCTCAACGGCTATTTATTTTTGATTGTATTGTTATACCTAATCTCGTTATCAATATCTAATTTGAGAGAGGCAACGACAGGATACACAACATCATTTACAGCCCATTGAACGCGTGGAAGCTATTGAAACCACACGAACTTAAGTCCGAAAAGTATAGGAAATAGGTCCGTCGCTTTATTACCTATGCAGGTAGCAACGAGAGTTTCGCAATAAAATTGTACGTTGTCGTCAGATAGCTACACCGTGTATGCTGTGTAATTACGGATGTTTGGCAGCATTGACTGTTTTCTTTTCAGGCAATATAGAGCGAATTCAAAGTAAAAAATGCGCATCATAAACATCATGAGTACGGTAAAACTGGTTACACCCAGATCTAGTCAAAACTGCCATTGGGATCGTTCTTAATCTTGTTCCACGCCATTTTTTCGGTCAATTCTATTTTGCAGTGTGGGGGACAGCACAAACCGATTCATGACTAGTCTACAGCGACGGTGTGCTCTAAGCGGATATTTTACTAGAAATAGTTGTACAAAAAATTGTCTCCTGTTTTGATTTCTACCAAACTATTAACTTGTTTCTGGTGTAACAATTTCAGTGTTTTTATTACATATTGATAACAAAAAACGTGTTTTTTATATTGCGTTCTCAGGGACCGCATTTTTTCTACTCTAATTTGTCCAGAAGCTGCCGTTGTCGAAGTAATTCTTCCATTTGGAATCCTCAAGTTTGCTGGCTTCCACTATGGCTTTTAAGTTCCTCATATCTCTTTTCAAAACGAGTACACCACTAACGAACTGTTGCTTTTCCTAACACCTGTGTAGTTAGAATTTGCGCACAATTAATACGGATTCGACCAGCTCTTTTAGCTTCAAGAAACAGAAAGAAGATTTTCAGCAGAAAACGATATGTTTGTTTTTAGACCCATTCGCTTTTTCCGTCCTGCATAACTTTCACTGTATAGTTTACTATCCTAACATTTTACCTAAGATATACGTAGTATAATTAGTGTTGCCTTAACGAAATAAACATGGGTCTAGCTAGGAAAATGACATTTTCTGCTTCGTTAACAAAAATGTGCAAAGGATTTTCAGGTTTTTCAAAAAATAATCTTTGTCATTATTTTACCTCGATCACAAACAACTATTGCCTCCAGCCAGAAATATATCATTAAAATATATTTCGTTCATTTTACGCATTCCCTATCCTTTATAGCACAGTATATATTCATTTGTCAACATTCTTGGTCGAGGCTTGCTGATGATCCAGGCGCATCTAGCAAGATCCTTTCGACGGGTTTTTCGCAGCATGAAAAACCAGGTAAAATACTAAACATTTGACATAGAAAAGGCAGTTAAATTAATTAGAACAGCAAACAGCTTAGAAATAACATTCACATCTGTAAGGTAAGGATCTGTTGGATTCAATACTTAATCTGAGCTGGCGTCGATGGGAGATAAACCGACAGACAAATAAGAGATAAGTTACATTGCTTTTAAACCGTTTGTGTGCACTCTATAATTGCACACGATTGTGTAAATATCTGAGGCAAGCGCGTAACATTTTGTTGCCGTAGACAAAACCTCTCATCGTTAAAAAACAACGCTTTAATGACCATCTGGTTTGCGGTACGCAAGAGCACAGCAAAAAAAGCTTAAAAAGGCTCATTACGATATATGGGGTACGAGTATTACAAAAACGAAACGTGTGGGCGGATAGTGTTGCAGTCCTATCAACTAAGGTCGTCTATTAGTTGTCCTAAAATCGTAGTACTTCTAAGGAACATTTAAAATATACGGCCGTATAAAACTGATTTAAAAAGCATTTCGAACACTTCTGTGTGATTTTAGTTGTACTGGAAATTTTTTTGCCGAATTACGTCGAAGATGCAGACAAAGGAATGCCGTCACGCCTTTGCGTAGAACTGAATAAATCATTTTGTAAGAAGTTCTTTAATAGCCGAAAAATGCCGTCTTGCGGAAAGTTTATTTGCTATCGAAGAAAACGTCACATACAAACACTCAAATACACAAAAAAGGTTTTTGTATATTTGATTGACTTAATTTTAGGACACCTATTAGAAGCATTATGCGTTGGATCGAATTGTATCGCACTTATACTCATTCTTGGACAGATAGCAATGATCTTTATTATTCATTCGTAGAGGTTCGTTGAAATGGTCGTATCTAATTATACGCTTGGCGTTGTTAAAAACATGTCACATGCGGTAAACTCAAGCTCTCCTAAACCTGTATTTGCCCGGAGACTCAGACGTCAGAATTGATTAGCCTCATGGCAGCAAAACCACGAGAAATGGCAGTCTAGCAATATGTTTCGCGTTTTACGTTGAGTATTGCCGTTAGGCGTTTCATCACACGCGTGGCTCCAACGCAAAACAAAGCGTGTCCACGCTTGGCTCGAACCTAGAATACCACGTGTTCTTCATTATGTTTAGCAGAGAAACGTTACTCACTACGCCATCACCGCAAGAAGAGACTCAAACTAATGAGAACAAACAGAGCAATACAATTTGGTGATTCATTACATAGAATCGTAAACACCAATTATTGCATCCTGCTTGCAGGAAAAATGGTAAAAAACATACATTTTACTACAATGATAGCGATTATCGTCCATCAGGCCTACTTCATTGAAAAAAGAAGACAGTTGAAAGTTCAGTTAACCCTTGTCGAATGTTTAAGCTGATATATATATAAGGACTGTGGTTCATATTTGTATCAATGGGAAGCACGTGCATTGTCATGACGATGTTTAGATATGAGGTAGCATACTTTTATCTAGAACTATCCCCATGGCGTTTGGGGAATTGCACGTGTCTCATTTACATAAATAGCCATTTTGGTATTCTACAGAAGTAACCGTTGTTGTGAACGACGGGAAGATAAGCGTGGTGGAGCATGCAACTCTATAGAATGGTTGCATAAAATGGTCTTTCACATCTCCGTATCTGTATCGTTCGAAAAAGGAATTAGCTCGTTTTGGCACGCAAGTTTCTTGCCTGTCTTTGCAGGATAATATTTCACATGTAAATACTTGTACGATATAAAAACGCCAATCAGCTTATTTAAAAAGTTTGGATTCAGGGTAGCAAAAATAATATCTTATGTATTGGTAATTTAATTATTAATGATTATGTGTATTATTATGAATTGGTTATTTAATTATCGAAATATCCTATTTAGCTCAGGTGCCATAGCTTTTGCAGTGTTGTTCCCTAAATGCCTGTGAAGACGCGCTTGCTTTTGAGAGCTTCGTCGACATCTTCATCAAAGTCAAAAGCAATCATCAGTAGTGCAGCACCTCGTTTTGCTACGTTAAGCAATTAGTTTATTTCCCCTCTGGGGTGTGAATTTGTGTGTCTTCGACATCCTGTTTTAAGATGCAGTGATCCGCTGTGCGAAAGCTGTGTTATCTATAAATAGCGTGGTAAATGTAAAAGTGGAACTTTTGTCGAGAGTTTGCAATCCCCCTGGACAGTGGCTGCAGCAATTTCAGTGAATGCGGTCGTTATCTTCTAAGCGACATGTTTCTACGCTGTGGAGTTCGCCATAAGTGAAACGTTGGTGTACCAAAGGTGGTTGACACTTGTGCCATGTACGACCATTCTGCCACTGTGGTCACCAAGGTACTCTGAAGCAACGGCGTATAAAATAGCCATAGGGTAAACGTTCTTCCAACCTAACGTCAAGGAACTAGATGTGCCTGGTTTATACGTACAGACAGTCCGCGTTGTAAGCATAGAGCTTGCTGGTGATTCATTTAGAATCTACCTGAGCTCAGAAAGTAGCAAGAAGCTTCCTAAATGTTTTGGTGCCTATATCGGTTTCTGTTGCCCCGAATGGTCTACACAAACACTGCCCAATTTCCGAGTCTGACGATGTGGAAAGTACGTTTAATGGGTGCCTTATCCGAACCAAGTGAATCAACAAGACTCGAGTGCATGGAAAGCAAAACTAGTACGCTTACCAACAACAAAACGGTTTAATGGGCATTGTTTGAAAAATAAAAAGTATACAGTAAAAGTCTGGAGACAGCGATTTCTGAGCTCGCGCATCGACAAAACGTTGCGTCAATGTAGCGTACAAAGGTTGTATTTTCTGATTTGCACGTAGAACGTGCGACAGTGTGACGTAGTAATACATGAATTTGCTACTAAATGAGCTTCATTTCATAAACCGCATTTTTCGATTCTGGTTAACACAAATTAAAGTATTTAGTGTAATGTGTTAATTAAATTAGATATGTACTTTTTCTAATAATCGAAAATTATAAAATATGTTAAAATATTATAGGTTATATTTGAATGTTTTGACGTGTTTACTGCCGGTTTTATGTGCGATGTCCTAATAGTGAGATCGAAACAATAGCACAATTACCTGTTTGATATAATGCAACGATATAAATAGAGGTTTTGTTGCAAAGAGCGATCAGGGTAGTTCTCCTAAGATTCCTCATGATTTTGTGGATGACGCTGAAACAATAACTCTTTTTTGTGTGCTTTTACTTCTGGTAATAAATTATAAGTTAAATTAGATCGTACATGATTTAATCATGCCAGAAACTTTGTCAAAAGAGAAATATTCTAATAGGACGACAAAAACAACGGCGGAAAAAGCCACTGCTGTTCCCAGCCCAAAAGACAGTTTATACAGTAAATTGAATATATCTATTATATTCAAATGACAAAACGTAGAGGAAAGTAGATAGATTTATTTTAGTAAATCTTTACATTTCAGGGTTAAATATTTTCATGAGTGATTTGGTGATCACGTTATATTTATCTATTATGGATGTGTTATGACTCCACACAATGTTGATCCTTCTTGCGAACGATCCAATCTTGCGGATTTGCAGTACCTGATAGGACCTTTGAATGTGTTTGGAATTGAATCTTTTTAACGAGCCCCCAGTTTCAATTTTTTATGGGTAATGATCCCAGATCTTAACAGCTCATTCCAAAGAAGACTGTCATAGAAATCTATATAACAACTTTTGCCTCTCGACACCTTTTTACCATTTTGTATTATATGTGCTTAGTTTTTGTTCGCTTTACCATTATGCGGTGGTTCACGACACTTCTGTTCTAGTCGGGGCCTTAAAAACGTTAGTTTTGTATTCGCGGGGCCGGATTGGATCAATATGATGTGAAAGGGCACTACGTCCAGTGGTATCAGGCGAATGTGCTCGTTCGCGTCTTGTTGTAGTACTTTTTTCTGTGCTAGTTTTAATGGCCTTGGTTGTTTCATCGAGACCGCTTCGTTGTCCGCGATTGTTTGGTTGTCCGTATATAAGCGCTTCTTCGTTTTCTTACGAGCAACACGTGAGGTTTTGACGTTCCATAGGGTTCGTGGAGTTAAACTAATCGTACATACAAAAGCAACAATTCTCATCTATCTGATTTGATTAGATATAGTTACGCGTATTTATTGACGCCTGATCAAGCTTTGAAAGACGTTTTGGATTACATGAAAGATTGTTGATCATCAACATGCGAGAGGTGCGAATTACTACAGTTTTTTTCTATGTAAATGTACGTACGGAAACTGACTATGGTGTTTTGGTTGAAGTTAAAAGTGAACAAAGATCATTATGATTTGTTACAAGGCTACTATTTAGCATCGGACATGCCCCCTAGTGAAGGTTCTGAACTATTTCGTCAGTCTAATTGAAATGCGACGACGGAAAACCAAAGACCACAACGGTTCAAGTTGATTAGACAAGTATTTAGGGTAAAACATTCAGATGAAATAGATGGTTTAAACTTACCTCGAAAATAAATTAAGTCTTGATTTAAACTTGGTTAATTTGTAGTGGTTCAATTGTTCTTGTAGCCAGTTGTTCCAAATCCAGTCATGCTACCTCCTGTCTTAGTAAATTTGCAAGTTTAAAGCGTTATTGAAGCCCATTTCGGCGTATCACACTTTTTATTTAGATTCCGCTCCGTATTGTATTCGCCGCATTGTAGGGCTATTATCTCACTGCAAAATTGTATTCCACAGTGAAATGCAATAGTATTTATTTTTTTTTAGTTCCTGTGATAGTTTGGAATCCTTCAATAAATTAGTTAGCCTTGATACCTATTTCAATTTACGTCAGTTCACAAAAGACTCATTTTTTATTGTATTTGGGTTACAATTCGGTAACACGTTACATGTGAAGTACCGGTTTTGGTTGACAGAGTCGTTAAACTCCAATCTTTGTTTTCGTAAAAAGCTTCCTTAATTTCTCCACGCTGGTCTTCAATATTCCAAGCTCCGTTTTTGAAACGTTTGCACTATTCGCGTACTATGCTTTCGCTTAGATCCTTCTTGCCTAATGCCATCACCAGTCTTCGATAAACTTCTGCAGTGCTATGGCCTTTGAGAAACAAAAACGTCACTACTAAAAGAAATTCTGTCTTTTGAATACATTTTTTTTGGTTTTCCCCCGCAGACTTCTAGGGAGCCGGAATATTTACTAGCCACACTCCGTCTGCTAGCTGCCTATAGACCAGAAGTTAATCGATTTTTAAAGTACGATAAACTTGCTTGGAAAAGCCTCGTTAGATAGCACATCGTTACCTTTTTTTACATCCTAGCTTCGTAATTATATGTGTTGTTTTTTTGTTTCATTGAGTAAAATCTAAACACTAAAGAATGACATAGAATTAAGCTATTTCCAATTAAATTGCCACTTTTCTAGATTAGAAGAATGATTCAAACAGTAAGAGAAAACCAATTACTCGCCAACAACGTAGTCTGTTTTTTAAATTATTCGTAAAGACGATTTGATAGGGTATGAAGTAAGGTCTTATTACTTTCACTCTTTTCGATCAAAATTCACGGGTTGTGTTTTCCGGACTTTCCAAAAGCGCGGAATTGCCGATACAAATAAACTGACCCATTTTTTAGCCGGGTAGCCACTCGTGTGATGAAAGTGAACTTGGAATTATTTGCAAAAAATACGGAGATTCAAGGATCTGAGCTGAATTTGATTTAGAGTGATAGTTTTAATTATCACACGTTGTATTAGTGCAGGCAAGTTCGTTATATTAACCGCAAACTAATCTTTTCCGGGCAAACGATAGCTGGTTTCGCATAGTTTAAAAACATATTTTTTTTACCATCAGTCTGTCAGTGAAGTATCAATGCTAGTTCTATTCTAGAAAAAATTCTATAAAAAGCTAGTGTGTAATATTTTAAATACAGTCCATTGTGATGAAAGCATTAGTGAGTATTTTCTTTTGATCGTTTTTCTGCGTTTCGATTTTGCTCATCGTTAATTTTGACTTTGTTTTTCTTATCGAAGGGAAAAACAACCGTATATGTAAAACGTAGTTAGGTTAATACTAGCTGGATATATGTTTTGCAACTTTTAGCAATATCTATCGAATATCTTTCATCGTGTATTTATATGTATTATACGCAAACAAATATTCAGTACTCGTTTGAAGAGCTTACGGTACATACCTGTCAAGTTCTCAGCAAAACGTTATTGACCAAAGTAACCGTGTATTTAGGCAGTTCTAGACATTCGTACATAATACCTGCATTTGTACAGTATGGTGATTGATGGAAACACTTTATACAGGTAGAGAGAAACAAATTTTAGGTACAGATTTTGAGTAATATGCGATGTGGGAAGCGCCCTAATAGTTTACTGTCGCCATATCTATGCTTCACTGCTTTGTGAAATTCAGCAGCTTTTTAGATGTACGGTGTATGTGATAATACTTGACCGTGGCATCTATTCTCTGGTCAGTTGAGCACAATTGGTCGTCTTCATGTCGAACTGCTTAGTCATTTTAAAATCTCTCTGTAAATCTATATTGCAAATTACATCCCACTATTATCTTAAAACGCCTAGTTCGAGGCTGAGTGCAATAATGTTGAGAAATGTGGTCTTCCTCAGGCAGGCACCAGCTAGCAGAGAATATCTGATTTGCTCTCTACTGAGCGATGAAGAACGAAAATGAACATAAGAAAAAAAGACGACGCGAGTCGGATGACGATAATACAAAGCTGGAGGGACGGACGGCCGCAGGGCCTTCGGTGTCGCCGAAAAAATCCAAGACCGAAGAGCCTCAGGTTAAGCGTGCAGAGGATGGTAGCCCGGATGAAAAAAAGGTCAGAGCAGAATCTTTCAATGCCCGTCAAGAAAATAATAAAGCTATATTTTCATTTCTGTTTTTACTAACTGGAAGAGGAAAGTTAATTGTATTTTGGAGAATAAGCCTGCCACGTTAACTGCATTATCACTCTACTTATCTTTTTTTTTGTCTTCTGGTTATTGAGTTTTAGTTTTTGCTAAATGTGCCGCTACGTATTATTGATAGTATTTTTTACCTTAATAGCACATTTATTAATATTTGCCCATTACATTTCATGCTAACTGTTGCAAAATACAGGTAAATACAGCCATTAAGCCAGTATCAATAAATGCGAAGCAAGCACTCGATAATATTGACCCCTAAAAATGTGTAACATCAATTGCAAACACCGAACACTATGCTAGACAATGAAAAACTAATAGTACGAATTTAAATAATAACACTAGCGCTATTCCAACCAAGTAGATCATGAATTCTGGGAACGATAAGGATTTCAAATTAGATTTATTAAAGAAGTACTGAATTGAATGAATAGAAGTGGCATAACAAACATTAGTTCAGCCCGCAGCTAAAAATTAATGGCTGCAAATTACTATCGACATTTTCGAATGTTGCTTTTTGTAGAGAGACCGAGCGCGAAACTTTTACTATGCCATTTTCAAGTACAGGCTGATCATTTCTTGCTTGTGCGTTTATGTTAACTTCATCTAGTTCAAAAAAAGAAGGTCCTTTTCAGAAATGCAGATGCCTTCAAAAGCGCTCGCTGTAGCTTAATCAATAGGCGCTTGGTTTTCAGATACCGTCGCCTCTTTGGTCTATGAAAATCTAGATGTTCTTCTTCACATATATATGTGCCATCTTAACCATAACTGAGTTCCATGGGATGTAATGTCATTGTAGGATGTTGAAGAATGCCTTCAAAGTGCTCAAAAGGACAAGAATGAGGACAAAGATTTGAAATGTGCTTCTCAAGATCGTCATCAGGAACAACCAGTAACAAGTGATCAGCCGCAACGTAAGAGAAAAAGGCGCGTACGAGTGAAAAAGGTTCGCGAGGATCTCAAACAACAGATGGAGTTCTACTTTTGTGACGCTAATTTAAGGTTTCGTATGCACATGATCACCGATATTAAAAGTCTATGCGAAAACCGCAACTATCATCATATGCAAATGAGTGAACGTAAATAATCATTAAAAATAACATATTTAATATGAAACCATGTTCTCGAAGAAATGTACATTTTCTTAACCAATACATCGAGTTTTCGTAGGTAGCTTAAAATGTATTAGATTTGAATCCTGCTAGTTCCATAATAGCTAAGAATTAAAGGTCCAGTATCTTCGATGGTTTTCAGGAAAGACCGCTTCATGACAGAGCTGGTCTCCAAAGCTAAGGATGGGTGTAAGTTTAATTTGAATATAGAAAAAATTATTATGCATAGACATAGGTAAACGATTTAACGTTCAATGAAAAAGAGTAGAGTGCATACGATACTCATTATTCTCGTGAATGACGTAGAACATAGTCAAAGTTACTATAGCTAGTTACTGCCGATCGGAAATTTTTATTATATTTGTTATTATTATTATATTATTTTCTTCCGACTTTTTGCTAAATATTTTATTACGGCCTACGCAAGGCGATTATATCCAGATTCGTTCAGCTTATTAATATCGTGTGCTACGTAAAACCTGCCACTTACCTGAACCTGGAAGGATAAGGGTATCTATCTACCTTAACATTCTGTTTTCTATGGTATGTCTCTTGAAATGATAGACGATACATAGAAAAAGCTGTGTGAAAAAATTTGAACGAGGATTTGATTAAATCTTGACTTTTTGATGGCTGCGTGATATGTCTTATCATTTCAGGGGTGGAAGTGTCGACATTTCTGAAGTTCAACAAGATAAAAACACTTCTGGAGGAGAAAGGACTAGAAATCGGAGAAGTAATCAAAGCAGTTAATGGATCGGAACTACTCGAGGTACTAAAATCTTTACTTTTATGTTGTTCTATAAAACGACGCGACTCCTACAAGGGAGCCGTGGTATTGTTGTATACGGTATGTGGAATAAACTGGTATCGCGTATTTACAGGCTGCACTTTAACAAAAACGAATGTTTGGATACATTTTTTTATATAAGCCGCCAAAATCATTTCTCACGAATGCGCTTATTCAGTATGTTGTCGCTTGCTTCTAAGGTGGCCTTGACGTCCAAAACTGTCGTAAGTGATTTTAAGAACTTTCTTCAATAAATTCACCAATAACATTTTATTATTAACCCTGAAGAGGGCAGTATTTATGTGTGCAATACGCCATATAGAAAAAAACTATAGCAAATCTCAATTGTCAGAAGTCAGAAAATGCAAAAAAGCGCAAAGCTCTAGGGAATATTTATCTGAATGGCTCTGTTTTCGAGAGATTTTCATTGAAATTCCTAACTCATCTGAAATTACTTTATTATGTTATTTTCTTAAATTCCCGAGTCTTTTCAGACTAATTCGTCCAGATCCGTTAACACATAAAAATGTTTCTGAGATTTTTTGAAAACTGCTCATAATGTGTATGCCTCAAACATGAACCTCCTGCAATGTCGTGATGAGTTTGCGGTGTTGTTTTAAGGAGTTGCTTGCTTCTATTGTATTATTAAAGATAGCAAGTCAAATGTCCCATCGTATGCCTACCGTCCTGTACAGTGGGTACCTGAAAAAATCTCTCGATGTCTTAACTGCTAATTAAGGAATATGTTACTTGATATGACAAAGTTACGGTGACAACTTGTCATAATTCTGACAAACACATAAGTTGGTATGATTCCATGTTCACAGGTATCCGATGATTTCAAGAGCATACGGCGTGACTTCGTTACGCACCCTATCAAGACAAAGAGTCAGCAAATGGTCAATGATTGCACGATTTACGTTCAGGTAAGATCTGCAGTTGACTGATCCAATAAATAGCTATTTTCATTGATTTGAAAAAGCAATGATCTCGAAGACTCAGCGTAGCTCTTCGTCTTGAAATAGTGGAGCGGTCGAAGGAAACTTACGGCTTGGTCTGTTGTTGCGGTGTAGTAAGTCGCCTGAACTATTGAGTGACAACTGTACCCTGTGTAGCGGGTCAACACTGTCAAACAGCATGTAAAGGCAATCGGTACGTGACTAAAATTGTAATAGCGTTAAATTTTGCGTTAAAGCAGGATGCTGCTTTAGACATCGCAAATTTCATTTATTAACAAGTAAGTTGGACTCACAGTTATCTAATGTGATTCACGCAGTCGTTGATTTTGTGTACGGTGAATAGAAGTGTAGGCAACTTGCATTTATTTAAAGTTAGGGGATACATCTCGACTAATAAATTTTCAATTTACAACTCTGTTTACCTTTTATAAGCTCTTTCCTTTAGTCGTTATTTGAACAAAGTATGTAGAATCATTATTTTGAATATTAACTTTGATTTGTTGACAAAAATGACGGATATCTTTCAGTCATTATGCACCAGAGTTAAAAGAACTTACAAGTCGTTCAACTTTGCTAATAGAGGCATTGTTGGACGAAATTAAACTATAGAACAACAAAAAAAAAGAGTTAAATAAATTTTTAGGGGTATTCAAGAACAGAAAACTAGATAAAACATTTATATATGTCTCATATGCACTCGGGAGGAGCGTTAACGCCAAATTATTGTTGTCGCCTGTATGTAGGGTCTTCCGCAGATAGCATCTGTCGACTGGCTTCGAGAAGTGTTCTCCGAATTCGGTTACGTTGAGTATGTGTCATTACCCCGTGCACCAAATGGTCGTCACAAAGGATTTGGATTTGTGGAGTTTGCCGAGGTGATAGGAGCGGAAAATGCCTGCAAATTCTACAATCTTCGAGGCGGATGCAGCCCTGGGTCCGAAGCGGAATGCGCAGGTACTAGTGGCAGTAACTGGAGTCACGCTGGTGGTTATGGAGGATCATTCAGCAACAACGTTAACAATAATCACACTAATATGAGTAACAACGGCAACTCACAACACTTAGCTCACAGGGCTAATCTTCAAGTGCTCTCAAAGTAAGTACGTTCTATGATGAGGTTCGATAATAATACGAGTCTTGAAGAACAGTATTGTAAACTCTTTATTTAAAAAAATCAATTGCGGGCTAAAACTACCCTGTCTATGAACCACGTATTTTGAGCCTATCACCGGAGCAGCAAAAGCTCCGATTGAGGACCAAGTGCTTACTTTACGCTCATAAAATCTTGCTTTCAAGAAGACAAACACTAAAACGGGCTTCTCTTATTCGAATACAACTCATTTATAATCTAACAGAAAGGAGTGGCTCCGCTATAAGAACAAATACCTGAAGCTGAAAAAGCAAAGCGCAAAAAATGCAAAAAGGTATCTAGGCATTGGGAAAAATCATCATAGTTTGCTCTCGGCTGATGCTCATAGCGGCCCGGCTGACGAAGCAGTTCACGAGCCGCATCAGGAGCGCCGAAGCAATTCTGAAGGCAAACGAAGTGGAGACCAGGACGGTCCACACGTTAGTAAGAGAGCAAGGACAGTAGACGAGAGCGACAAGAATTCTGAGGATGACGCTAGGAGAACAGTAAATGGTGACCTAGCTAAACAACCAATCGCTCGGAAAGCGGTTGCGAAGCTGCATCTGCAATCGACAGAAGTCGAAGGGGCGCTCGGGACGGTCAACCGGCGCGTCAAAGGGTGTATCGTAAAGATAAAAGCAAACAAAGGACTTCTCAAAGCTGATAAGGTTTGTCTTACTTGACAAGGAGTAGTTACAAATCTTAGTGATGGAAGAAGATAAACAATAAACAGTGGATATACTGCTTTCACATTATATACAAGAGCTGCTTCTTATTAAGATGCAACATTACCCAGTAGTTCTAGGAAGTATGA